CCCCAAAACCCCAAAACCCCAAAACCCCAAAACCCCAAAACCCCAGGCAAATAACAAAAGATTGAAGAGTAGTTTAAAAAGCAAATGTGTCTAAGGGCTCTCCTGTATTTTTTATGCTCATGACTTCCTTTGAAATTCCTGAAGCATCTGATCTGATATTAAGCAGATACACATGGTTGTCTTTAGAAACACGGTAAATATAATAGAGATCTGAATGCTCGATATTACATTTGGTTGGAATGCTTCCCCAATTTCCTCCTCCAAAGTACATTGTACCCTTATTATCCTCAACCACTGCTTTATCTCTCAATGTGTTAGAAACTTTGTACATATTTTCATGGTTTTCAAAGGCAACATCAACACGATACTTTGCAAAGATCTGTCTAAGTTCAATATTGGTTCGGACCTCTTCATAAGATGCCTGGTGATCCTTTCAACCAGGGAACATTGGATTATTATAGAAAAATACCTTGAAAGAATTGGGGTTCTGCTTTAAACTGTTCTCGATCCAGGCCATTGAATCATTTCTTTGAAAATAGCCATAATAGCCAATGTTTACTCCATATATTTCAATTCCATACCCTGTGAGATTATAGAGCTTCGAGAAGGCATCAGTTTGATGATTCAATTCATATCCATGCATGAAGATGAAATAATTTAAGCTGTTTTTATTAGGCTCTGATAACGTAGAAAATGCACTCCTTCCTATATCATTTTCGCCTATAGTTGTAGCTATTGGAATAATAGCTCCATCAGTTTCTCTGACCATATATCTTTGCCAATTGTATAAGAACCGGTCCCAGAGTCAATATCATCTATTAAATCCACTATCGTAGGCTATATCTCCTCCAATAAATGCTGCATAGGGGTTTAGCTTAGAAATGGTTTTATGCATCTGGATGCTTAAGTCAAGATTTCCAACACTCCCTCCAAATACTACTGTGAAATCTTGGTTTTGCTGCGGGTCATCTGGAAAAGTCCTGAACTTTTTGATATCAGCAATCTCTCTCAGATTGGTAGAATAGTCATTATAAACAGCTCTAAATTCGTAAATAGTATCTGGCTTAAGTCCATCTACCTTGGTAGAGTAAACAAGTCTGGCTGCTTTCTTCTCAGGAGGATTATACGGTACATTTTCACCTTTAATATCCATTTTGATATTTTCTTCTCCTTGAGGCCAATACTGGATTTCAAGGTCGCATTTTACTGGGTCTTTTCAGGTCTCACCTGAAATATGATAATTAATAATCATGCTTGTGCTGGGAGTGCCTGACAGAGTCAGGTATGTATGAGATACTCCAGAGTGAAGCAACTTATTTATCCAAATACCTACTGAAATAAGTGGAAACTACAACATCATTGAACACTAATCCCTCAGACTGATCGTATAATCCCACACATAAGTCAGATGAAATGAACGGAAAGAGAAATGAATAAATCAGGATTAGAGTCAATCCGAGCATGAAAGCAGTAGGTTTCTCAGTAATGTAGAAAGATAGCGTCTTCTTGAGGGATCGCATGGTGAACTGGTTGATGTTTGGAACATCAGGCTCATAGATATGAGAAGACTCTGGATCAAAATTTAACTCAATGTCAAGAATTACAAACTTATTCTCGCTATAAATTTGATCAAAGTATCAAGCTATTAAAATCACAAAGGAGATCAAGATAGTCCAATAAAACTCAACTATTGAGTACATTGAGATTGGCAGAAACAGGACTCAAACCATCAAGATTATTCACCATTTCAAAATTTTTGAAATCTTAAGAAGAAGTTTGCACCACCTAACTTTTTGATGCACATCATGCTTTTGTAGCCTTGCCTTTAATTCTTTCTCCTCAAGCTCTTGAGCGAGGATTAAGGGAAGCATTGGAGTGTTCTGAGACATTCCTTCTTGGGCTAAAGGAATACTTGATTGCCTTTTCCTCAACACAAGGTCCTCTGAATCATCACTAAAGTAATTGTGGATATCATGAAATTCTATATTCGCATTTCCACTATGCTTGCTCATCAGAGGAGTATTCAGACTACTGGTATCTGAACTGTACATTGATCCGTCTTCAGACGTATAGGAATGATCTTTTTGAAGCACTTGGTCGATAATCATCTGCACTTTTGCAGGGTGTTCATGCAAATTTACTTTAAGATATTTACTATAATTCATAAATATTTCCTTACCTGTCACTTGTTTGGATCACAACCCATATTTTCTCACAGTAGTAGATGAGTGCATATCTGAGAATAAAGAATCATAGTAGTATGAGTAGCATATATAGATAATTCTGAAACATTCCATGAAGAATGTAGTCATTTTCATACCACATTTGACAAAGCTATAAATTATTATAATTCACAGCCTCTCTATATAATTTTCATCTTTTGGGGTTTTGGGGTTTTGGGGTTTTGGGGTTTTGGGGTTTTGGGG